CTGCTCCGGGACCCTCCGTGGCTCCCCGCTGCCCCGGGACAGAGCCCCAGGCCCTCGGCCCCGGCCTCCCCAGCCCTGCGGTGCGGCTCTGACCCCGCCCGTCCTCAGCTTCGCGGAGAGGTCACACCCCTCCCGCCGGACCTTTGCCCAGGCCGCTGCCCGCACCCAGAACCCTGTCACCCCCGCTGCCCGGTGCCAGCCCCCCACCCCTGGCTTTGCCTCCAGCACCGCCCTGTGCTCCCAGGCAGGCCCTGCCCCCGCCGCTTGTCTCTGGGCCTTTGCACGAGCCGTTTGGCCGGGCGACTAAAAACATAAGAAATGAGCCGGGCGTGGTGGCGCGTGCCTGTAGTCCCAGCTACTCGGGAGGCTGAGGCAGGAGGATAGCTTGAGCCCAGGAGTCTGAGGTTGCTGTGAACGAGGCTGATGCCATGGCACTCACTCTAGCCTGGGCAGCAGAGTGAGACTCGGTCTCAGGTGTCCCCTGCCAGGGACCCGCTCTCTCCCTCCCAGCCTTCAGATCAGCTTGCACGCCCCCTCCTCCTGGAAGCCCTCTGGGATTACCCCCAGTGTGGCTCAGGCCCCCTGGGCCCCCCAGTGTCACAGCGGCCCCTCCCTTCCCAGGTCCTACCCGGACGAGGAGGGCCCCAAACACTGGTCCGACTTGCGCTACGAGCACGTCATGAGATCTCTTAGTACGTGCAAGGACGAGTAAGACACCCTTTGGTGTTACCACAGGTCCGTACCCCTGTGGGTCGAACACAGGCGGCCCTCTCCAACTTTATGTCACCCAGATTGTGCGGTGAGTGGCACAGGATAACTTCGGGCCAGCGGTGTTCCGTCCAGCCCGAGGAGGACGGGGTGGGCGGGGGCTGTGGGCTCACCACACTTCCACTTCCTCCCAGGCTCCGGTGCGCGTCCAGAAAAAGGACGGGGACGGTTGGGTCTCAGGGACGCGGGGATAATGTCCTCGGGTCACGAAGTCCTCCCCGTAGACCTGGGACCGTGGCGGAGCGCGCGGGACCCGATCCCCTCCGAGGCACACCGCAGAGAGCGGCGCAGTACGACACACAGCGAAGCCGGCTGACGGTGCCACGACCGGCCCACTGCCGGCCACTGCTGGCCCACACCAGCGCATTGTATGCGAAACCAGGGGACCGCCGGCACGGCCTACGAGCACAGAACACAAATAGACTACAGATGACAACAACAGAGAAAGGTAGGAACGGGACCAGAAAGCACGAAACTGAGCGCGAGGGGCCGCCGGCGAGCGGACTCCACACCCTGATCCATCCTTTATTCATACATGGGAGGTCCGAGGCAGGGAGGATCGCTCGAGGTCCGAGGAGTTCGAGACGAGCCTGAGCAAGACGCAGAACCGCGCGGCCATCTCCCACTAATAATACACACACACGATTGGCCAAAGCGTCAAAATACCATGTATGGAGAAACATGAGCCGGGGCATCGTGCTGCAGCCGCCTAGCCACCTCATCCCCAGCTACTCGGGAAGAAACACCGAGCCGCAGGAGGTAGCACAATAACACACAACATGAGGTTGCTGTGAGCGAGAGCGTAGACGCCACGGCACTAGCACTCCTACGCACTGGGAAGCGGGATCCCCAGAGGAGGTGGACCGGCCGAAAGGACGAACGTATTAGAGGGACAGGGACCTCTGCGTCCGTGCCCCGGCGGCTTACCCTGTGAATCAAAGAGCCGCAAGGCGGAGCAGCTCCAACAGCAGAGGAGCAGATTTGGTGGAGGGCCTGGAGTCACAGCTCCAGCATGGGCGCGGTCCCCCCGCCTGCCCCGGCGTCCAGCGGCAGCTGGCGGTCCTCGGCTGGTGGACACGCAGCTCCCGTCTGTGCCCCTGCGTCACCCGCCGTGTCCCGGGTCTCTTCTGGGCTCCTCACCAGGACGCCAGGCGGGGATTTGGGGCCGCGCTGGCCCGCTGGCCTCGAAAGCACTGCCCTCACGGCGACCTCCAGCACGCGGCGCACAGCCCCCCGTTTCCGAGTGGGGTCCTGTTCACGGACGCAGGGGCTCAGCCTCCGCGTGTAGTTTTTGGGGGTGCGTGGGGGGCCTGGGCAGG